GAGATGGGATGAAGGGAGGGAGTTGGGGAAGATGGAGAAAATCCGAGGTGCAGAGTGTGTGGATGAATGGTGGAATAAATCAGGATTTAGGGAAAAAAGGACGATATCCTGGAGTTTGGAAAAGCGGGAAGGAAATAAAGGCGGATCCAGGGGTTTAAAGCCAAAAGGATTTCTGTGATCAGCTGTGGATGGTGCCCTGGGAAGTCGAGGATAACAGGGAAGTTAAAGGATAAAGGATAAAATTAAAGGATAAAGGATAAAGTTAAAGGATAAAGGATAAAGGATGAAGGATGAAGTTAAAGGATAAAGGATGAAGTTAAAGGGTAAAGGATAAAGGATAAAATTAAAGGATAAAGGACAAAGTTTAAGGATAAAGGATAAAGTTAAAGGATAAAGGATAAATGATAAAGGATAAAGTCAAAAGATAAATGATAAAGGATAAGGGATAAAAGATAAAGGATAAATGATAAAGGATAAAGGATAAAGGATAAAGAATAAAGGATAAAGAATATAGGATAAAGAATAAAGGATAAAGGATAAAGTTAAAGGATAAAGGATAAAGGATAAATGATAAAAGATAAATTATAAAGGATAAGGGATAAAGGATAAAGGATAAATGATAAAGGATAAATGATAAAGGATAAAGTTAAATTATGAAGGATAAATGACAAAGGATAAAGGATAAAGTTAAAAAATAAAGGATGAAGTTAAAGGATAAAGGCTAAAGGATAAATGATAATGGATAAATGATAAAGAATAAAGTTTAAAGGATAAAGGATAAAGGATAAAGGATAAAGGATGAAGTTAAAGTATAAATGATAAAGGATAAAGGATAAAGGATAAAGGATAAAGGATAAATGATAATGGATAAATGATAAAGGATAAAGGATAAAGGATAAAGGATAAAGGATAAAGGATAAAGGATAAAGGATGAAGTTAAAGGATAAGGGATGGCTGAAGTTAAAGGATAAATGATAAAGGATAAATGATAAATGATAAATGATAATGGATAAAGGATAAAGGATAAAGGATGAAGTTAAAGGATAAATGATAAAGGATAAATGATAAAGGATAAATGATAAAGGATAAATGATAAAGGATAAAGTTAAAGGAAAAAGGCTGAAGTTAAAGGATAAATGATAAAGGATAAATGATAAAGGATAAAGGATAAAGGATAAATGATAAAGGATAAAGGATAAAGGATAAAGGATAAAGGATAAAGGATAAAGGATAAAGGATGAAGTTAAAGGATAAGGGATGAAGTTAAAGGATAAAGGATGAAGTTAAAGGACACCAGCCTATTGCTGCAGCTCCCTGGGATGCTCCTCTGACCCTGCAATTCCAGCAGGGAAAGGAGAGCTGGAGGAGTCGGAGTGTGTGGGGAAGTCTGTGCTGGATCCTGCACTGACTCCATGAGAATCACGGAATTGTTCTGTTTGGAAAAGATCCTTAATAGCACTGATCCCAACACTGCCAGGTCCAACATCCGATGTCCTCAAGCACCACATCCGTGTGAAATCAGTGGTGGGAAGGAGAACCTGTCCCATGGGAATGCTCCACCGGGATCCTGTTCCTCACAGCAGTGAGGGACTCCGTCTGGGGAGGTGGGAAACCTCTGAAGGGAATTTTTCCAGCTCCATGCAGGAGATCCATCCTGGTCCCACTTCCTGAGAGAAAAACAAATCCCGTTCTCTGGATCCCACCCTGGAGGTGCCTCTGGGGTGTCCAGCCCTGGCTCCTCAGCACAGCAGGGACAGGAGCTCCTGGAGCTCAGGAAGGGCCTGGAGCGTCTCCGTGCCCAGGAGAGGCTGAGGGAGCTGGGGCTGCTCAGCCTGGAGAGGAGACACAGCTGAGAGGGACCCTCAGCCCTGGGGGTCCCTGGGTGTCCCTGAGTGTCCCTGGGTATCC